GCCAGGGTATAAAATATGCCTCTCTTCCCCCTGAGAGGTACAGGCATCAAGGATAGGCCTATACACAGGGGCAAGGTACAAGTGGACGTTGTTGGATGTGGCTTTGATAGAGGGCAGCTACACAGGTCACAATATCCAAGAGGCTCTGAATGATGCAGAAGGGGAGTCTAGCTACAGGAAGGCAAAGTTTGTTATCACAGACAATGGGGCAAACATGGTGGCAGCACTGCAGACTGGGAAGATGAAAGGGGTGCTGTGTATGGCCCACACTCTCAATCTAGCAGTTCAGGATGATTTACAGGGTATGGAAGACACATGTATACCTAATATAATGGAGTGGGCCAGAAAGGACATTATCACCAAAGTGTTCAGGACAGTGAGCTGAATTCCCAATCTGAATTCTGCATCTGAACTTTGCTGCTAATGCACATCCTTATATATTTTCTGAATGAAAAAAGCACACTTATAATAACTGACTTCTGTTGGTTTGAGCACCTCTCCCTCTTCACTGTAAAATTATTCCCGTAGCTAAAATAAATACAACCATCTACTTATGCACTGGAACATTTAATTATATTTATCCTTCAGCATTCCAGCACTTCTTACTTCAAGTGTGGCCCTGCCCAAAGGTGGTTTTGCAATACTCCAGTATCTTCTAATGTATTCAGAATAATAAACTCATTCTTCAACTCAACTACCAGTGAACTGAAGGGCTAGAAGAGCATAACAGCCACTGTCAGTCATGGTAACAAAGTCGTTGTGTTGGACCCAAGTCCAAGGACCAGAACGCCCTTCAACAGAAGCAGCTAGTGTTTCTCCTTTTTATCCCTTTTCTCCTGCCCTGCCTTATCCATCCTAAGGAAATGTTACAGGATGTGGGAAAGCCAAACCATTTTCTTATAGGGGGAGGTCTGTACCTAAGTATTCATGTCTTCTTTCCATTCCCTCAATGGACCACACAATCTGGCTTGTTCTTAATTTTAAGAAAGGACATAAAATCTCCCATGTTGCTCCAAATAAAAAACACATCATTCCCATAGAGGTGGGCTCAGACATGCATGTGTTTTTCGCAATATAACCTCTGAAGTTTTCTGCAAGGCCAATTAATTTTGGCTGTGGACCCACCCTACAGAAACAGAGCAAATCCCAGTGTAATCATTTATCTATGTAATTGGAACTACAGCCATATAACACTATATATGGCTGTAATTCCAATTCTTTCAGTGCCCCCATATCTTCCCCTTCTATTTGCCAGGAGGTGATGGGACCAGTGGCCATGATCTTAGTTTTTTTGATGTTCAACTTCAGACCATTTTTGCGCTCTCCTCTTTCACCCTCATTAAGAGGTTCTTTAATTCCTCACTTTCTCCCATCAGAGTGGTATCATCTGCATATCGGAGGTTGTTGATATTGCTTCCAGCAATCTTAATTCCGGTTTGGGATTCCTCCAGTCCTGCCTTTCGCATGATGTATTCTGCATATAAGTTAAATAAGCAGGGAGACAATATACAGCCTTGTTGTACTACTTTCCCAATTTTGAACCAATCAGTTGTTGTATATCCAGTTCCAACTATTGCTTCCTGTCCCACATATAGATTTCTCAGGAGGTAGATAAGGTGGTCAGGCAATCCCATTTCTTTAAGAACTCGCTATAGTTTGCTGTGGTCGACACAGTCAAAGGCTTTTGCATAGTCAATGAAGCAGAAGTAGATGTTTTTCTTGAACTCTCTGGCTTTCTCCATAATTCAGCGCATGTTAGCAATTTGGTCTGCCCCTTCGAAATCCAGCTTGTACTTCTGGGAGTTCTCGGTCCACATACTGCCGAAGCCTACCTTGTAGGCTTCTGAGCATAACCTTGCTAGCGTGTGAAATGAGTGCAATTGTACGATAGTTGGAGCATTCTTTGGCACTGTCCCTCTCATTTTTGTTCTTTATCATGTCCATCTTTGCACAAAAGGTTCATTTAATATCTCCAATTTTCTTGAACAGATCTCTAGTTTTTCCCTTTCTATTATTTTCCTCTATTTCATTGCATTGTTCATTTAAGAAGGCCCTCTTGTCTCTCCTTGCTATTCTTTGGAAGTCTGCATTCAATTTTCTGTAACTTTCCCTATTGCCCTTGTATTTTGTTTCCCTTCTCTACTCGGCTATTTGTAAGGCCTTGTTGGACAGCCACTTTGCTTTCTTGCATTTCCTTTGCTTTGGGATGGTTTTTGTTGCTGCCTCCTGTACAATGTTACGAGCCTCCGTCCATTGTTCTTCAGGCACTCTGTCCACCAAATTGAGTTCCTTAAATCTGTTCTTCACTTCCACTGTGTATTCATAAGGGATTTGGTTTAGATTATACCTGAGTAGCCCAGTGTTTTTCTTACTTTCTTCAGTTTAAGTTTGAGTTTTGCTATAAGGAGCTGCTGATCAGAGCCACAATGAGCTCCAGGTCTTGTTTTTGCTGACTGTGTAGAGCTTCTCCATCTTTGGCTGCAGAGAATATAATCAATCTGATTTCGGTATTGCCCATCTGGTGATGTGTAGAGTTGCCTCTTGTGTTGTTGGAAAAGAGTGTTTGTGATGACCAGCTTGTTCTCTTGACAAAACTCTATTTGCCCTGCTTCATTTTGAACTCCAAGGTCAAACTTTCCTGTTGTTCCTTTTATCTCCTGACTCCCTACTTTAGCATTCCAGTCCCCTATAATGACAAGAACATCTTTCTTTGGTGACAATTCTAGTAGGTGTTAAGTCTTCATAGAATTGGTCAATTTCAGCCTCTTCAGCATCGGTGGTTGGTACATAAATTTGGATTACAGAGATGTTGAAAGGTCTGCCTTGGATTCGTATTGACATCATTCTATCATTTTTGAGATTGCATCCCTGTACAGCTTTTCCCACTCTTTTGTTAACTATGAGGGCTACTCCATTTCTTCTATGGGATTCTTGCCCACAATAGTAGATATGGTAAGAAAAACAGTGGTGCCTTGCTTAACGGGCACCCCCTTTAACAACGAATCCGCATAGCGATGAAGATTTTGCTATCGCAAAAGTGATCGCATTGCGATGTTTTAAATGGAAAAAAATCGCTTTGCGATGTTCGGTACCCTGTTTCGCTTACCGATCATCGCATAGCGATGATTTCCCAACAGCTGATCGGCGGTTCCAAAATGGCTGTCGGGTTAAAAAAATGGCCGCCCGCTGTGTTTTCGCCCGGATTCCTCACTTACCGGTCAGCGAAAATAGCGGCCGTATGCAGGATTTTCGTTTAAAGGTGAGTTTTAAGCCCACAGGAACGCATTGAAGGGGTTTCAATGCATTCCTATGGGCTTTTTAAAATAGCATAGCGACGAAATTGCTTTGCAGCAATTTTTGCTGCACGGATTATTGTCGCTATGCGGGGCACCACTGTATGGTAATTCTTACTTATCTGGGAGTAAATCTTGCTGAATTCAATTGTACTGATTTCTGAGCTGAAATAGAGTTGTGCTGCTAAATCTCTTTAAATCAATGGATTTAAATTATGTATGCAAGTTAGCCCTCCTAATCCTCTGGTTATACACCTGTCAGATCCACATGAAGTATCTCTGTAACAAACCCTCACCAATGATGAGATATTCACCTTTCTGTTTTATAGGCGTTAAGGGCTGAATCCTATAGAGTTATTTCTTTTATAGTGGGAAATCCTAGGACCATTCATTTTAGGTCTCTTGAGAACAGATGGGGCCTTGAGACTTTCTGTACTGCCTCTGAATAAGATAAAACATCAATAACAAAGCAGACAAAAATGTTGTGGCACCTTCAAGGCTAATTGCTACAGTTGAACATGAGCTTTCGTGGATGAAGCCCATTTCCTCAGACATAAAAAGGGAGACTATGTATTTTTTTTTTGGTATTTTTTTCTTCGGCAGGAACGGATTAATCGGTTTTCAATGCATTCCTATGGGAAATGGAGCTTCTACTTACAAACGTTTCAACTAACGAACATATTCTGGGACAGATTAAGTTCGTAAGCAGAGGTTCCACTGTAGTTGCATAAATCTGTATACGAAAATATATAGACTCGATCCATGAAAGCTCACACTAAACTATTTAGTCTTTAACATTTGACATTTGTCCTTGGGGAGGGGGATGGTATCCTTGCAGTGACTAACACATCTGCTTCTTCAAAAACTGTATGAATAAGGAAGCGAGCGCAACAGGACCACTGGGAAACTTCAAGAGCACTTTTATAACGCCGTGGAAAAGGCGTCCACGCAATAAATGGCTCTCTCTCCCCAGCGCTTCCGTCCCCGCTTTCTATACGTGACTGTATTCGTGACGATGACTCTCCCCATTCTGTTAACTTGTCAAGCCTTCAAAGAGGAAAGCCGGAAAGTCTAGGCGAGGCCCCGCCCTCAGCAACAGCAGCAGCTGTTATTACCGTCGAGGCTCGCGCGCACAGATTTCGGCCTCCCCGTCCCATCAACTAGGGAAGGAAAGGGAAAGGCGGCGCGCACCCCCGGGCGCGCGGGTCTATTTGCATCGGCGCTCGCTCGCGTAAGCGCGCGCCTTTTCAACGCCGAGCCGGGCTACTTCCCGTTCAGGCTACTACAGAGAAGCCGTAAAACGCACGCGCACACCTTGCCTCCCTTGATCCCTCCCACCCCAACTGACGCCTGGGTGTGTCCTTCCCTCCCCCTCCCACTCCAAGCCCTCGTGGGGAGAGGAGGCCGGCCACCGAGACGCCGTCACGCATGCGCGCGCAAGTCGTCCGCCCTCCCCCTCCCCTCCGCCCATCCTTTCTCGTTTTTCCCCTTCGGTAAAGGCGGCTGCTCCGCTCCCTTTTCCCTTCCCTTCCCCCCTTTCGCCCTGTCCCGTCCCTCGCCGCTTCCTTCCTCCTGTCTGTGCCATGGATGGGTAAGTAGGACTCGACCTCGTCCGGCCGTTTTGGGCACGGGCAGATTTCCTCTCGCCTGTTGAGGAGGAGTGCGTGGGGTCCTTTCTCGTTTTTCCCCTTCGGTAAAGGCGGCTGCTCCGCTCCCTTTTCCCTTCCCTTCCCCCCTTTCGCCCTGTCCCGTCCCTCGCCGCTTCCTTCCTCCTGTCTGTGCCATGGATGGGTAAGTAGGACTCGACCTCGTCCGGCCGTTTTGGGCACGGGCAGATTTCCTCTCGCCTGTTGAGGAGGAGTGCGTGGGGGAGCCAG